GTTTTTGCGTTTTAAACGATCTCTATTATATATTATGTAAACATTTCAGACATATTTTTTATTTAAATTTTATATATAAAATATAAAAATTCAATTTTGTTTTAGTAAATAAATCCTTCGTACTAAATATATGAGCAAAAATAATGCGAAATGAAAATTTATAGTACAAATAAACAAAATGTAAATTGTTTTTTCAGTTTTTGATAACGGCAGTGAGAGTTTTTAAAATAAAACTACTTTTTTAAAAGATATTTATTTTTATCATCAGAAGTGATCTTTAACTGCAAAATTTAATCAATATTTTATAAATTTTGAGACAATTATACAGTAAAAAATTGTCCGAATAAAAAAATAAAATAAACAAACACATAGGTTTTAAGTAAAAATGACAGTGAAAGTTAATAATTGTTATGTAGGTATTGTTTTCCAAAACTATTTAAAACTTAACTGATATTTATAGCTTACCACTTCTGTTTGGGAAATTGCTACTGATATTCAAATATATTTTTGTTCCACACACGTTTTTATTTCAGAATATTTGTTCTACGTTGTTCTAATATCATATCAAATTACATTAAAATTTCGATTTTAATTATTCTATTAAAACATGTGCCGTTATATAACATAACTTTTATTTCAACCACGTAGTTCAAACATACCACACATTGCTAAAAACTTTAAAGTGCGTGGCTTAATATTATAGTTCGACTTTTAATACCCTTTTCTGAAAGTGTAGAACGAAAAGTATAATAGATATAACAGATGATAAAAATAAATTTGTATGTTGTTATACCCAAACACATTTTAGTCATAAGATAACGCATTAATATTATCACAAAAAAATATTGTAATTTCATACTGAATTGACTTACTAGTTATATATAATTATATCGTTGATTTTTATTGCAAATAAAATCATAATCTGCTTCTATAAATAATTTCATTGTTTGATTAATATTGTTTTAGCGTTGTAAATCAGAAGATCTACAATTTTGTTGAACGTTATCGAATCGTTTATAATTTTAAATCAATAGGTATTTAACTGTTGTAGAGATTCCCTCTATGTCTTGATCGTCAAGTACTGACAGCATAAACTTCATTTTAGGAATAAGAAGAGTCCTGTATCTGATGCCTCAGGCAATGTCAAGCTTATTGCTGAAAGGGTTTGAAGCATTCGAATGTGGTAAAAGGCACTCTTTGCTCGCGATTTGATAATTACGGTCACGTTTAAATAATACACGATTAGATCAACTATAAACAAGTGATAAAATGATTTGGAAAATGCATTGGAATTAAACAGCTTTTGGCAAAATATAGGAAAAAATATTCACTGGGATATATATATATATATAATTACTATCTACTCATTAATTTAAGAAATCATCAATTGAACAGCTTAATTGATAATTTGTAAAATAGGTTAACTTATTAATTTAAACATCTAAGTATGTCACTGATGACAATCAGAGTATTCGGTATAAAATAAAGGTTTTAAAATTAAGCTCCTTATTTTTTTTAATCAACTATTTAATTATATTTCAGGTGTCACAAAAAATGGCTAAATAATATTCTAAAAAAAATGTTTTACATATTACACAAATGCGGAAAAATACTTTTCAAATATCTCCAAATTTCTTTACTGGCAATCTGAAGGTAAAGACTGCATTAAGTTTGCACAAATATTTTAAGAGTTTTTAAATGCTTTAATGTAGGAAAAATCGTGATGTTATTAGTTATAGCAAACACTAGAAAAAAATATTTCACAAACGCACTAATGCATACATTGTTCCTATTAACATTGTCCTGCTAATAACTAGAATTTAATCTTAAAAATGGATATTCTGAAATAAATCTGAGATATAATGTCATAAGGTATATTAATAATAGTAACAGGGGATTCAAAATAATGCTAATTACTGCTAGACAAGAGCATTAATGGTATTTCCCCATTCTAGTTCCAAATTTAATGGGATTTAAAACACAGTCCCAGCCAAAAAAAAATATCAGAAAAGTTATAAATTGCAAATAACAATAATAATAATAATAACATTAATAATGCCGACCGGACTGTGTAGGGGAAAGGGAACTGTCCTTGTATCAGAATGGTCCTGGGTTCGAATCCCGGGCAAGGCATGGATGTTTCTTTCTCTTTCTGTGTGTGTTCTATGTCCTTTCTCCTTTGTGTGTGAATGTGACCCGCCCTATAAACGGGTTGTGGTTGTGTGAATGGCTTGACAGAATTCGAATTCCTGGCCATAGATGGCGCCACTGAAAAACAGGAACAATTGCACCCCCACTGCCTAAACAAGCATACGACAAAAAAAAGAAGAAAAAAAACATTAGTAATGATAACACTAATAGTACTAATAACACTAATAATAATAATAACATTAAAAATAATAATGGAATACTGTCTTAAGTGAACACATTTTGTATGTATTTAAAGGAGTAGTTATGAATATGCTTCAAAAAAGCGTATATTTTTTCAACTATAAATTTGCAGGTAAGCAAAATAATTTGGAAGTAAGCAAAAAAAAAATAAATAATTTTTTTGACAATATCAATTTATGGCATTTTATGTTTTTATGGAAATTAAAAAAAAGAAATTCTTTAAATCTTCGAATCACAAATTAAAGTATAATTAATATTTTTTTATTATATTGTTATTATCTTTGTTTTTACTAGGGATTCATTACTATGCAATTTTAAGCTGGATACAAATATACTCTTTTTCAGTACGAAGTATACTTGATAAGATCATGTTTAAATCTTTAATTGTTATATTTTATCATTTCAAATAAATGGCAAGTTTAAAAAAAAAACAAGTTCATCCAAGTTTCTGAGAAGAATAAACCCGTTAGATTGCACGTACAGTGCTCAAAAATGAGTAATTTATACAAATGTTTATATAATTCTAATGAATGTAATTTTATATGGCAAAATACAAAATTTGAACAAAATCATGCGAGTAGTTCATGAGAAATAAAATGTTAAAATTTTGACTTTTCAAAATTCAAAACTGGCAATTATATTATTATGTATAGAGTGTTATTAAATAAAATGTTAAAAAAATATTAAATAGTAATAAAAATTTATTTTCTCCTAGTAAATATTTTTAGTTAATTAAATTTTACGATTACGTGTAATAATCTTTCAATTTGATTAAAAAAGTTCTCGAGATATGACAAAATACGCAATAAGTAAAATAATCATTAAGGGGTTCAAACTTTAGTCCGCTCTCCTGACCAAACTATTTGGACCAAATTTCCTAGATCACGGCTACCTTCCATTATCTAGAGGGGGGGGGGGGTCAAAATTTATAGTTTGTTGTAAAAAAGCTGTATTTGATCAGAGAAAATAAGTTTTTGCGTCTGATTTCGTAACTTAAAATATCATCTGCCCTAACAAATTAGCATATTTTAAGTCACTTTCTCGAATCATTAAACTTGAGCCCCATTACGTGAAGATCCGATCATTAGATCAAAAGCTATTCAGGGTGATTCATTTTTTTTGCTCAACCAATTGTGCGCAAACTAATAAACGAAACATCTTAATAAATATTCATCTAGTTGTCAGATTTTCACGAGCTATAAATGAACTAGAAAGTACAAACTGACAAACTATATAAATGGGTGCAAATTGATTTCGTATGAATGAACAAAAAAAAAGTAAAAAATTTAGATGTAACAAAAATTATATTCTTTTCTTTTCATGAAACTACTTTTAAGCAACTACACTACTTACAATCAGTTTTTTAAATATCGGGTGGATAAAAATAAATTAATCGTGACAAATTTTGTTTATAACTATGTGCAAGATTATGTGCTAAATTATTGCACTTCCAAAAATAAATTAATTGTGATATTGTTTCTTACTACATCAAATGTAAATTTTCCCTCTTTACTCTAGTAAGTACTATATTTTTAACAATTAAAAAGTAATTAAATGTTAAAAACAACACGAAAGACTGTAATTTGCCGTATTCTCAGTAAGTAGCCTATTTTACGAGTATTAGCCTAACAAAAAAATTACCCTGAATAAGTATCGAAATTATACTTTCATAGTATACTTATTATACCTTTATACTTATTATACTTTTATATTTATTATATTATTATACTTATTATACTTTTATAAAAGCAAGAGGCTGTCTAAAAACTTCATTAGTTTATGCTTACTCATAATTAAGCTACAAAACCTACCACATATTTATGTTGTCTTGAAAAGTACTTACTATTTTTAGATTCTTCTACTCTGTAAAAAGATCTGGAATTAATTAAGATAAAAGTATTGGCACTTAGTGTGCTGGTACTTTTTACTGTAAAATTCGTTTTCACCGGAAAATGTCACGAGATAAAAATTCTAATATACCATAATTTTTACAGTAATTACCGTAAAATCTCTGAATCACTCTAATTAAAAAAATATTTCTGTAAAATCTACGGTATAATATTTTAAGATAAAAATGGATTTCATGTTTTAGATTTTGCAGATGATGCACCCAAAGTGCCGGTACTTTATACCGTAATTTGATCCAGAATTTTTTACAGTGCAGTTTTATTTCTCAGACAATACCGGATACTTATTTAAAATTACTTTCTTTCCTGCAAAAATGTAGAGTTAAATATCATTAAACGCATCGGAAAAATGATTATTTTTAATTGTTTCAAATCCAAAAAAAATTTTATACCGCAGATAAAAAAAAATTAGATTAAATATTTTGTTAAAAGAATTTAAGTATGAAAGAAATATTTTGCAACTCTTTTTTTTTAAAGTTCACAATAATAATAAGAAATAAAATTTTCTAAAACGTAGTCAAGTTTTAAAAGTAAACTCTACCGAATTTACTGACAACAAAACACTTAAAAATCCGTAATCCATTATCACTTTCCCTTTAATGTAACACGCAATGAGTTATATAAGAGAACCTGACGTTGCGCATCTAGGGGGCTTCTCCTGAATTTCACTTCTTAGCTCTCTCTCAATTCTGATCATTCACCGTGTGTAGCCAGAGCAGCAATCTCTTACTCAGAATCGATGAAGGGCCGCTCGCTTGCGCTTCGGCTTCTACAGCGCCGACTAAGGCATGCCAGTTCACATTTTGAGGAAGATCAACTTCCGGATTACTATGACTGGATAGAATGCATTCGGGCAAGAAAATCTCTCGACATCTGTTCTCACTTGTGGTTCAATAACACTGATGATAATTTCAATTTTCAAAATGATAACCTGAGTAGCAGAAACATATCATCATCATCCCCAGCATCATCAATTGATGAGGAAGCTCAAAGAAAACTGTACAGGGCAGTCGTACCAGTAATGCTTACAGCTTGCGTACTGTCCCTCCTCTTCAATCTGATGATACTGTTTAGCTTAAAGTGGATCAGAAAAACTTTGTCTCCAACATTATTGCTCAGTTTGTCCCTTGCTGTTGCTGATGCGTATGCTTCACTTGTGATTGGGGTTGGCTTAGTCTTAAACAGCTTGCTTCCCATTGTTTACGGAGTGGATCTTGGACCATTCCATGCCTGTTATCTTCTAGTTTTGGAAGCTTTCAGACTTGGAGGAATGGTAGTTGCGGTTTTGCATCTGCTAGCATTAGCAATTAACCATTATATTGGTATTCTAAGACCACTTCACTATGCTGCGATTGTAACGAGAGGAACTGTTTTATGGGCCATTACATCAATGTGGGTTGTGCCCGTGGTATTTTTCTTATCTTACTTTTCTCTGGTACCAGATGACGGATTTCAGTCTCCATACTGTAGCAGCTACCAGTTCTTGTTGCATGTTCCATTTAGAGGAACTGTCTCTATACTCTTCTTTGTACCATTATTGTTTATGTCTGTTATGTACCTTCACATGTTTATTGTTGTCAAACGGCATCAACGGGGAGTACTTCAACTTCCGACAGGAAGGCAGCTACATAAGAGTGTCAAAGCAATTATTACAACTCTACTTATTCTCGGTACATATGTCGTGGGATGGATGCCAGCTGTATTGTTTTTTGTACTGACTTGTCTCGACTGCCCTGTACCTTATACGCAGATACAGTTATGGGTCAGAGTGCCCGTGAGTATTTTTATCAATTCGATGATCGTAATAAAGTCATTTCTTGATCCCATTATCTATGTCGTGAGAATGCCGGAAATAAAAGGTGCCATGAATGCAGTGTACCGGACACGGTGTGGTTGCATTGAAGATGAGAGAGTTGATCACAGAATTCATTTTAAGTCGGAAATGCACCGTCTCACATTTATGGAGGGTTCTCGTAGAAATGAAGTGGGTTTGAAATCAAGTATTTGTAATGGACAAGTGCAATCATCGACATACTAAGAAAGATATTCATTTTCAATTGTTCGTAAGTATTTCTTGCTTTTATTTATCTTGATTTAAATAATAGCATTTTAAACATTTTACAATGTTTTTAATTTAATGTGATTGGACTCCGCACAGATTTTTAGTATTTTATATTTGTTTATAAAAATAAATGGTATATCAATGTACTAGTTGATATTTTTAATGCATTTTAGTTTAGTCAAATTCAAATTTTAAAGGCAAACTTTTGCTTATATTAATATAGATTATTTTTGTACTGTTTCAAATTTAAAATTTAATTTTATGGCATATCAAAACCAGTTTTAATATTGTGAGTTTACCAATAAGTGTTTGTAGGTTATCTTTGCATTATTTTATTTTATTGTGATTTTTAAAATCAAATCTTTTTTTTTTAAATACGAGTGAAGCATTTCTAAGGAATTTTATTTATATATATATA